AGAGTATATAGTGCAGTGATAGAGCCAGAGTATAGATGGTGCTGTGATAGAGCAAGAGTGTATATGGTGCTGTGATAGAGCCAGAGTTTATATAGTGCTGTGATAGAGCCAGAGTGTATATAGTGCTGTGATAGAGCCAGAGTGTATATAGTGCTGTGATAGAGCCAGAGTGTATATAGTGCTGTGATAGAGCCAGAGTGTATATAGTGCTGTGATAGAGCCAGAGTGTATATAGTGCTGTGATAGAGCCAGAGTGTATATAGTGCTGTGATAGAGCCAGAGTGTATATAGTGCTGTGATAGAGCCAGAGTGTATATAGTGCTGTGATAGAGCCAGAGTGTGTATAGTGCTGTGATAGAGCCAGAGTGTATATAGTGCTGTGATAGAGCCAGAGTGTATATAGTGCTGATGAGACCAGAGTGTATATAGTGCTGTGATAGAGCCAGAGTGTATATAGTGCTGTGATAGAGCCAGAGTGTATATAGTGCTGTGATAGAGCCAGAGAGTATATAGTGCTCTGAATGAGTGTGAGAGCGTGTCCAGTGCTGTGAATGAGTGTGAGAGCGTGTCCAGAGTGCTGTGAATGAGAGCATATACATAACGCTGTGAGAGCAGGAGGAGGAATATAGTTCAGTTAGTGAGGGTAGAAGTTGTGTGCATTGTTGTGAGGGAAAGAGATTGTTGTGAGGGAAAGAGATGTGTGCATAGTGTGGCGGTGCATAAACAGGTCCCGATGAAGGGGAGAGAGGAAGGGAGAAAGAAAGCAGAGGGGAGAGGTAGGAAGGAAGGGAGAAGGCAAAGGGGAGGGAAGGAGGGAGGGAAGGCAGAGGGGAAGAGAGGAAAATAAAAAAGGGAAGAAGAGAGATGAACAGGAAAGAGGGGACATTGTAATAGGCAGAGAGAGAGGAGAGAGAGAGAGAGAGAGAGAGAGAAGAGAGAGAGAGAGAGAGGAGAGAGAGGGAGAGAGAGAGAGAGAGAGAGAGAGACATTACACATATTTTTTACCCTGATACAGACAATTATTGTCGGTGTTGTTGCACTGATGTTCATTACTATAAATTTGGTCCTAATAATAAGCCAAATGTGTATAGATTATTGTGTGCTCGTGTGTATGGTGTTATGTAAAATATATATATATATATATATATATATATATATATATATATATATATATATATATATATATAATATATACTATTTTTGTATATTTGTTGAAGGTATATCCATTAATACTATGCTATATTATCGTTAATATAAATTAGTTATGGGTCTCATCAGGTGCTGGAGGTGCTCTATTAAACAAGGGTGCCAAGTGCGCCACTTGGCACCCTCTACTGTATAAAGTAATTGGCACTATCTGGCACCCTCGGCTGTATAAAGCAATGGGTGTCACATGGCACAACCCTCCCGGCAACGAACGCTAATAATTGGTTGTAAAAATGAATCAATGGTGTCGAATACACTGTGATGCACGTTGTGTTCATTTTAATAACATCGATTTTCCCTCGGAATATTTTGTTCTATTGGTGTGGATTTCAGCGACTCGCTGGCGCACTGCAACCGAAAAATAACCAACAACCACACAACAACAACAACCACACAACAACAACCACACAACAACAACAACCACACAACAACAACAACCACACAACAACAACAACCACACAACAACAACAACCACACAACAACAACCACCACACAATAACAACAACCACACAACAACAACCACACAACAACAACCACACAACAACAACAACCACACAACAACAACAACCACACAACAACAACAACCACACAACAACAACCACCACACAACAACAACAACCACACAACAACAACCACCACACAACAACAACCACCACACAACAACAACAACCACACAACAACAACCACCACACAACAACAACAACCACACAACAACAACCACCACACAATAACAACAACCACACAACAACAACAACCACACAACAACAACAACCACACAACATCAACAACCACACAACAACAACAACCACACAACAACAACCACCACACAATAACAACCACACAACAACAACCACCTCACAACAACAACAACCACACAACAACAACAACCACACAACATCAACAACCACACAACAACAACAACCACACAACAACAACCACCACACAATAACAACCACACAACAACAACCACCACACAACAACAACAACCACACAACAACAACCACCACACAATAACAACCACACAATAACAACTACCACCACCAGGGTTGAGCCATGCCACTGCTCCCCGCCAGAAAATGTAGGCAGACACGAGAGATTCATTTGAAGAAAGCTTTTGTTCCCTGCATATGACAGTCATTACCACGCGGTTTTTACTCTCTGGTTACCGAGTCTCTGTTACCCATTAATTATCCGAGTCTTGCTCGGTAAAGTCACCGGGAAATATGCGCTAGAAAATATTCCCCCTCAAGTCAACACAAAGTCAGTCTTACACACTCGATTTTAAGTCTGTTTTTTTTTAACACTTATGGACAGATTGCCACAAAAATTCTAAATTCCCTTATTAATTGGTAGCATCAGTCAGCTGCAGTCTCTAGTGGTACCTGGCATCTGGCAGTAATTTGCATATGGCACTGCGGCATTATATAACATTTTGACAGCACCCCAGTGTCACCTGATCCGGGCCGGGCTAAAGAGAAAAAAATCCTCTCCCTCATTTACATACTTGGACACCGTGTGACTAGGAAGTTTCTGTTCTTTTGAATTTTGGGTTGATTTCGCCGCTAACAATGTGGGAATGTTGTTGTTATGGTCAATATTTGGCCGTTTTGTGCGTGTTTGGACTGTTGTACTCCCTTGCGCAGGGGTGACGGAGGAAGTCTTTATTAAGTAAATTAACGTTTTATTTAATGGGTCCGTGGACGATTAATTTGTCCTGCCTGACTGTTTGTGGAAGCTTTCGTTAAAGAATTAAGTAAAACAAGACAAACAGTTCTATTTGCCAAGAATTCCAGTAGACAACGAACCAAGGTTTTGTTAAAGTTCACACTTAATACAGGTTTTATACATTTTAATTTCAACTGCAAGAGAAGATTCAATACCATCTGAGATGAACACACATGAACTAAATGCGACTTTCAGCAATAAAATTAAATATAATAATTCTGTATTACCATTTCACAGTCTAACTCTGGACAAAAAAGGCACCCAAATGTCCAGTTGGGACATGAGAACAAAGAGCGAGCCACCACCTCACTCACATCACCCACGAATCAGTGTTTAACATTAAAAATTTAATATTAAGCATGAGTCAACACTCAGCAGCTTTATAAATAAGGAAGATCTTGACAACATTGTGACTGAGTAGAGGGTGAGTACTGGTGTTATTAGCCAAGTGCTTCAAGTAACAGAGAGAGTCGTCACGGTGGAGGAGGCATAACTTATACCTGCATTCTTATACAACAATTGTATGTGTTGAAGCAGTATACACAACTGCCAAAAAAAAGAGATGATCGAAGATTAACTTTCTAATATCCGGCGACAATAATAACGTGCATATCCGGCTATACCATAAAACACATTTTTGTATCCGGACTAATATCCTAATATGGGAGGCATCTGTGTCCGTAGTTACCCCATTGCCGGGAGATATATATATATGATATATATATATATATATATAGATATATATATATATATATATATATATATATAGATATATATATATACATATAATATGTAACTAATATTCTAGCATTACATAAAGCACCATAACGAATCAGAGGGGTAAAAATTATATTGTGGATACCCCCCAAAGATGGCTATAATCCAGCAGCTGTACACGCAATATTAAGTCTTGTGACCTCGAAACCAGTTGTCATGATTCATAGGAGTGTGTGTCAATTCTGTTTAAGGTCTCTTGTCATATCTTAATGTTAGATAAATAGCAAGAGACCCGGTCGTGCCCCACCCACACCTTCACCAGTAGTGAGAGAGACTTACACTTGGCTCCCCTAAGGTTAGGTAGCTGAGTTTCATCAGGATTTTCTTCCTGTATTTCACGTTATATAATTTCACATTACATAATTAAGTAATTATCAAAAGAAGGCGCCAAGCCTTCTATGTAGCCTGAGAAAGACTAAGTAGCCTGGGAAACCATAGTTTAGCAGTTAATTCGTATTGTTCACTTAAATACGTACTGTTATGTTCCTACGTCACAAAGCAATAATCTGAATTTGAATCTTCGTCGAATAAAGAATTGCACTCAATTAATTAATCACAATTTTTTTTGTTAATGTTTGTACATTTATAATCGAGTTAGTTTTGCGCAAAATTACAGTAAATTAATTACATAAGGCAAAGTCATAACAATAGCATAAAACGCCATCATTGTAAGAATGCACTGAGCAAGAGGTCGGTGGTTGACAGCTACAACAATGCTGTGGAGTGACAGCATAAAGTAAATATCCCTAGATTGACAGGATGCTCAAAACGTATCGCCAGACTGACAGAAAAAAAAGACAAAAATCATATCGCTGGATTGACAGAAGGCAACAACAACAACAACAACAACAACTAACTGACAAGGTTGTCACTACAACAAATTGTGTGACCTGGAGCTTTATAATGCTCATCCTTGTGTGTGTGTGTGTGTGTGTGTGTGTGTGTGTGTGGTGTGTGTGTGTGTGTGTGGTGTGTGTGTGTGTGTGTGTGTGTGTGTGTGTGTGGCGATACTTGCAGGGAGAGCTGACAACGGCCCTCAATCATTCCGTGCCCATTATTTACTTAAACTATTATGTATCTATGCACTCAGTATTATGTACTCTTATGAACTTATAAAGTACAAGTATATAATGTTGCATATATAAGCATTTATATACATGTTTATAATATACATATTACAGTATGTACTTAGCAATCTATACAATTAAGGACGAATCAATTATTTATTATTTTTATGCACTTATGTACTTATTAGTATGCACTTATTGCTAAAGTACGTGTCTGTTCTCCAGGTACGTGGAGCTTCGTCCTCAAGCTCTACCTCATCTCTGAAACTTTTGGAAGCCGCAGAAGTAAGTTCAAAACTCCGTTTTCCGTTTTTGGTTAAGGGGCATGAGGTTGTTTGGGCACGGGACGACCATACGGCTCTTCAGGTCTGCCCCAGGTGTGGTCTGGGTCTCCCTCAGGTGTGGTCTGGGTCTCCCTCAGGTGTGGTCTGGTTATCCTCCAGATCTGGTCTGGTTATCCTTTAAGTTTGGTCGGGGTCGCTCCTTCCTCTTGAAGATATTACTCTGCACGATTTTAATGCTACTGTTAGAGCTTCTCTTATTGTTTGGGGTTCTTTTTTCTTTTATGCTTACCTGTAGAATTTATATTTTTATAGTTATTTTAGTGTATTGTCTCGTTGTTTCATTTTCGTTTGGTATCCAGCCTGGTCTCTATAACTTTCCCTTTCTCCCAACATCCATGGCTGCTCCCAGCATTCATGGCTGCTCCCAGCATCCATGGCTACTCCCAGCATCCATGGCTGCTCCCAGCATTCATGGCTGCTCCCAGCATTCATGGCTGCTCCCAGCATCCATGGCTACCCCCAGCATCCATGGCTGCTCCCAGCATCCATGGCTGCTCCCAGCATCCATGGCTGCCCCCAGCATCCATGGCTGCCCCAGCATCCATGGCTCCTCCCAGCATCCATGGCTGCTCCCAGCATCCATGGCTGCTCCCAGCATCCATGGCTACTCCCAGCATCCATGGCTGCTCCCAGCATCCACGGCTACCCCCAGCATCCATGGCTGCTCCCAGCATCCACGGCTGCCCCCAGCAACCATGGCTGCTCCCAGCATCCATGGCTGCTCCCAGCATCCATGGCTGCTCCCACCATCCATGGCTGCTCCCAGCATCCATGGCTGCTCCCAGCATCCATGGCTGCTCCCAGCATCCATGGCTGCCCCCAGCATCCCTCGCCTCTCCCTGTTTCCTCCCCTCCTCCCTGTCGCTTCATCGTGGCCATAAAACACTGTCTACTTCCTCAACGCTTCCCGACTACTGTTCTTTTTCAAGCCCGAGGCCACAGTTCATTAGCATAGAGGGTGCGGGCGGCCTCTTCCCACGATCCGGAGGTGATGGCGGCGGTTGGCTTGGAGGATTGGGATGGGCGTGAGTAGGCGGGTGGGCGTGAGGTTGGGTTGGGTTTGGGGAAGAGAGTTCGGGTGTACGTTAATATGTGAGAGGGCGGCGTTTGGCTTGGGGATTGGTATAAGCGTGAGAACGGGGTGGTTGGCTCTGTGTAAGTGGGTAGTTGGACGCGGGTCTCCAAGACGTACTCTGACGGCTTAGTAATACCCAGCCAGCCTCGATACAATTTTGCCGGGCCGCATATCGACAGCCCTGATCATATATGACAACTGGGGATAGTGGTAGCTTCTTAAACAAGCCTGATTACCTATACGGCATGTGTAGGCCTTGTTGTTGTGTCTGTATACGTGCCTCTAGGCCAGATCAAGGCCTAATTAATGTTTCTTAAACAAGCAAGAGTGCCTCTAGAAATTTAAGCCTACTTATTTATTTTTTTTTTTTTTGCAGGGAAATTCCTGCGCGGGCCCTAAGCCTCTGGCTGGCCCACTGATATATTTACTGATTCTTCAAGTGTTTCTAGAACATCATGAGTGTCTCTAGAATTAGTTTTCCTAAATGAGTAGTCTCCACGGCCGTAGGTCCATTAGGCCTACTGTAGTAGAGAGCCTCAGAGGAGCAGCGTGACTGACACATTAGACCGGAGCTACTTAAGCTCCATATTATGAAAAACAGAAGCGCTTCGTATGTATATATTTTTTGAGAGGTTCAGATTTAAGATGGTTGGAGCAGACAGGCAAAAAATATCAGATTCCGGAAACAGATGTAAAGGAGAGTGATGAATGGGGAATAAATCAGAATGTCAAGTTGCTGAAGAGGAGAGGAAGATGTGTGTGGGAAAGTGCTTGTGGTTACCAGAGTGCCCTTCCCTTATCGTCTTCCCCTCTCTCTCTCTCTCCTCTCACTCTGCTCACCATATCTCCCACCTCTCTCTCTCCTCCTAACCAGGCTGTCCTCTCAATTTACCCTATACTATCCTCTATCTCTTCCTTTTCCATGCTGTTCTCACTCTATCCCTAACCACGCTGTCTCCTCTCACTCTCTCCTCACCATTCCGTCCCCTCCCCCCACCCCCTCCCCCTCCTGGACTGACTAAAGAGTTCCCCCTCCCCCCCTAGGAATGGTGACTTGGGGGATGTTATGTATGACTTCCCTTAGCTGTGGCATATTCAAATTTCGCAGACAGTTATGAAGAACGTAAATCATGTTATGGGAGGACAGGAGAGCAGGGGGTGGTGGCGCGAGGCTCTGGTGGAGGAGGAGGCGGAGGAGGGGGACAAACATTAAGATAAATACAACAAATTAAAAAGAAGAAGAAGAAGCACTAGGAAAACATGAAAGATGATTCACAGAGACGTGAACCAACATATCAAGAAAATTTTGTCTCCATTGTTTATTTATTATTATTATTGGTAGTATTAATCTTATTAGTAGTACTAGTGATTAATAGTGACGATTATTCTGATGATAATGATATGTGTATAACGCCATATATTTCGGTAATAATGATATGAAATGATATAAACTTCAGAAAACGGAAATTCGATAAGCAACGTTTCGTGTACAGCTTCCTAGTACATCTTGTGACTAAGGAAACATAGACACATCTGTTGGGAACGCAAGCATGAGGTTAGGGAAATTAAAGGGCATTATAACTCATGTGGATTAAAGAGTATATAGTTCATGCACGAACTATTCGTCGAAGTCTTGCCTGCTGGGGTTTCGTGGTGTTGCTGGGCTGAGTGAGGCTGCCCGCCCTCTACCTCTGGTAGCTATTAATTCTGGGACCGTGTGTGGGTATGGGTGTGTGTGTGTGTGTGTGTGTGTGTGTGTGTGTGTGTGTGTGTGTGTGTGTGTGTGTGTGTGTGTGTGTGTGTTTAACCTTCAGCTTCTGGTCATTTGCATCATCGATTATCTGGTGTGATGACTTCAGATGGTCTTATGCTTTGTCACATCCACATGCACATTTAACCTTCACTACTCTACTCCCCAAACTCACTCCGTTGACACACACACACACACACACACACACACACACATCAGAAGTCCCTCAGGCCATCCATTGTTCTTTCCCTTTCATTTTGTCATATCCCATCCGAGCACTCTTAAGAGTCATACTGGCTTAGCGCTTTCTCCTGAGAATGCTCTCGTATTACCTCTTAAGCCACTCTGTCTCATCTCAGCTTCCAGGTACCATCTGTGTTTCCTCTTCACTGCCCATCTCATTCTGTATCATGCATGCTGTCTCAGAATGTTCGGTAATAAGTTTATTGTTTGTGATGTGTGTCTAGGTATGTATTAACACGATGTACTGAATGGGGTGAGAATAGCATGATTACCTCATCCCTTTGTGTGTATTTTACCTCAATAAACTTATTTCAATTTCTATTTCAATACATGCTGTGGTCCTGTAGGTTTTGTTGTTGTGAAAAGTCTCGGGATTTTATTTACGCGTTCAAGTAGATGAAGGAGCCATAGTGGGATTGTATATTCGAGGTTTTACCTTTTAATGTCTGCCTCTTTGAGCCCTCTGTAGCGCAGTTTTCTATGTCGCTGGCACATAACCCAGGGTACCGGGTTCGATTCTTGCGGTGGGACTAGGCTGGTTGGGCACGTTTCCTCACAGCTGATGCCACTCTTCACTGATCAGTAGAAAATTACTCGGGAATTAGGCAACTGTTGTGGGTTGCATCCTGGAGAGGGGTCAGTAGTTGGCCTAGGGACACCTCGATAAGCCAAAGTGCAGGCTTCCTGTCCCCGAGAACCAATCTCCAAGACGCCCCACGTTCTGTCGTATTTACTCCTTTAGACATGGCTGGAGGTGGCTCCTACACCTTCAGAGCAGCGCACTTGTTGACCATCTACACAGCCATGCCACCATTTTCCTGTTTCTCTCATTAATTTTCATTTCTAATTGTCTACCATTTCCTTATGTAATCTTATAACTGTATGTTTTACGTAATGCTCAAGTCTTTAATCAAAGATCTCTTCTCTAACAGTATTCTGACATCTAGCTTCGTACGCGTTTAAGGTTCGTGTGTGTATGAGTATATGGTTTGCGTTTGAGTGCTTGTCTGTGTGTATACGTATATGTGTATGCATTGGATTGGAGTGCTTGTATGTATGCGTATGTCTGTGCGTTTGAGTGCATGTGTGAATGCGTACGTATATGCATTGGAGTGCTTGTATGTATGCGTATGTTTGTGCGTTTGAGGGCGTATGTTAATGCGTATGTGTGTGCGTTTGAGTGCGTGTGCATGTACAGCTCAGGCTCTGAAGACTCCGGATGGACCTTACATCCGGCTGTGCACCTCGATTTAAGGGCGCCAACAACAAGGGGTGAGTGACTGAACGGTCCCTTAACAGTGATACAGTGAACTAGTTAAGATCGGCAGTTATTGTAAATGCACGTGTCCACGGTAAATATAACTTCCTCCTACTATCATGTTAATGGTACAGTGTCAAGCCACCATCACGGGAGAGTGTGTTGGAGTGGTTGTTGGTGGTTATAGACAAGATGGCGCTGCTGGTGGTGGTGGTGGTAGTGCTCGTGGTGGGGATGAATGGTCTAGTTGGTGATGCAGGCGTATTGTGGTAGTTCTGAAGGTGATTATGGTAGTGATGTGCTATGATGGTGATGAGGGTAGTGTTGTGGTGGTGGTGGTGAAGGTGGTGGTGATGGTGAGGGCAGAGGAGTGTTGTGGTGGTGAAGGTGGTAGTGGTGAGGGAAGCTGGGTGTTGTGGTGGTGGTGGTGATGGTGGTAGTGGTGAGGGAAGCGGGGTGTTGTGGTGGTGGCGTGTGGTGGTGGTGGTGCTGGAGGTGGCGATGCAAGTCAGACAGATTGCCTGAATTGGTTCACTTAGTCAGCTACACAAAAACATGGAGGACGACGATTGGCTGGAGGTGGAGGAGGAGGAGGAGGAGGAGGGGGCCCAAAGG